GGAGGCTTAGCCTACTATGCCATAGCACCGGCCCCTAAAATTGTACTTTTAAGTCTGTGTTTTTTGCTCTTAGTTGTTTTCTGAAGGAGTAAGGTGTGTAATCTGCCACTGTAAACTGCCGTGGCTGGTAACAGAAGTCCCAGTTTAGTCATTTACTCCAAGTTGGTTCCCTCCCCTAGTGAGGGTTCCCTCCCCTAGTGAGGGTGTCCATTTCCATGTTCATGTGACATGCTGTTGTCAAGCCCGTGGCTAATTCTGTGTCCTCACTTGACTTCTCAGCAGCATTTGACGTAGCTAACTCCTTCTTGGACTCAACTTCTCATGAGCTCATTCTGATGATTTTCTTCCCTTTTACTTAGGGTCTTTCTTTATCCAGTCTCTAAATGTTGAAGCTATTCGAGGTTTGGTGCTGCATCGTTTCTTTGTCAACACTTTCTTCCTGAATGACCTCTTCCAGGTTCATGGCTTTTACTGTGGTCCATATGCCAGTTCGTCCCACATCCGTATTTCTAGCTCTAAAGTGTACCCTGAATTCTGTTCTCAGCACCGGTACTTCCATGTTGGAGACATCTCATGCTTCATAAATCCAGAAAGGACTCTTTCTGCGCTCTTTCCCAGGCTGTTCCTCCGTGGCACTCTCCATCCTAGTGCACAACACCACTGTCTCACTTGCTGGAAAAGGACACATGAGAGCCACGCTCAGTTCTTTGCTTTTCCTTGTCCTCACGTTTACTTCTTCATAAGTGTGTTTGGTGCATTGTCTAAAACATGAGTCAGCAAACTTTGTCCAGGGCCAGGGCTAAATACTCCAGCTTTGTAGGCCACATGGTTTCTGCTACAACTATCAGCTCCTGCACTGGACCAAGAAAACAGCCATAATAATGCCCGAGTGAGTGCTCATGTTGAGATTTGGCCAGCAGCACGTAGTTGGACTTCTTGCCTAAAATATCTCAAACCTACCCATTTTTTTTCTATCTCTACTGTCAACCTGTAAGACTACGCCGTGTTTTTTTGTTTGTTTTTATTTGACAGGCAGACTTAGAGAGAGAGAGAGAGAGACAGAGAGAAAGGTCTTCCTTTGCCGTTGGTTCACCCTCCAATGGCCGCCACGGCCGGCGCACCGCGCTGATCCGATGGCAGGAGCCAGGTGCTTCTCCTGGTCTCCCATGGGGTGCAGGGCCCAAGCACTTGGGCCATCCTCCACTGCCTTCCCGGGCCACAGCAGAGAGCTGGACTGGAAGAGGAGCAACTGGGACTAGAATCCGGCGCCCATATGGGATGCCGGCACCGCAGGCGGAGGATTAACCAAGTGAACCACGGCGCCAGCCCCTAAGCCGTGGCTTTTGATTAGATTAGTTAAGAGCCTTGTTTCGGGTCTGTTCTCCACCCAGTGTGCAGAACAACTGTGAAAGCACAAGGGAGGTAATTTTATTCCTACTTGAAAGCTTAAATGATTGCCCACTGCTGCTTTAGTAAAAGCAATATGCCTTAGTACGACCTAGAGTCCATTTCAGTCTTGAATTTTTTTTTTTTTTTTTTTTTTTTTGACAGGCAGAGTGGACAGTGAGAGAGAGAGAGACAGAGAGAAAGATCTTCCTTTTCCGTTGGTTCACCCCCAATGGCTGCTGTGGCCGGTGCACTGCGCTGATCTGATGGCAGGAGCCAGGTGCTTCTCCTGGTCTCCCATGGGGTGCAGGGCCCAAGCACTTGGGCCATCCTCCACTGCCCTCCCGGGCCACAGCAGAGAGCTGGCCTGGAAGAGGGGCAACCGGGACAGAATCCGGCGCCCCGACCGGGACTAGAACCCGGTGTGCCGGCGCCGCAAGGCAGAGGATTAGCCTAGAGAGCCGCAGCATCATCATGTCCTACTCTGCATCTTCCTCACCGTTCTCCCTGTGCTGAGAATCTGTGTCAAGTGACAAGCGAGTTTGAACATCCACATTTGTTCTCCTGCTCCTCTTTAGTCCAGCCAGGGTCTTTTCTTTTCCAGGGTATAACAGTACCTTGTTCACGGTTATCCTAGTCTATATTCTTGTGTCTCTTAAATGGTCTTCCGTATTCCAGGGAGAGTAGGGTATTCACGAGGCAGATCTGTGTTATTTCTGTTTGGATCACGTTAGAAGTGTCCCATCCTCTCCGTCCAGGACACAGAGGCCCCTGCAGTCTGCCCACAGTTCTCTCCCCACTGTGTTCGCTTTATTCCGTGTGTGCCTGGAACCTCGGAATTGCTGACAGTTGTTGCACGCCCCTGCCCTTTGCCTGAGTGACTTTGCCCATCTACCTCCTCCCCTGACTGGGCAGCTTCACTTAGCCTGAACGTTTGGCTCAGGTGTCCTCTCAGACAGCCTCCCAGGGATGCTGAGCTGGGTTATAGGGCTCCTGGCTGGCTTCGTAAGTTTTCGTTAAAGCACCACTACTTTATAGTCTCTGTCTCTGCGGCTGCATTAGAATTTCTCTGAGGAGTAGGAGAACGTGTCACGCTGATTTTCTAGCCTTAGTGCCTACTATGAATTGTGTTTAATGTGTATGGAGGAGCACTTCGGATGTTACCCAAGGTCACAGAGTTGAGTTAGTAGTGGTTGTGACTCTATTTTAAAAAAATTTAAAATTTACTTATATTCATTTTTATATGAAAGGCAAAGAGAGAAAGAGATGATAGACGGAGAGAGATCTTTCTTCTGTGGGTTCACTCCTCAAATGTCTGTAACAGCCAACACTGAGTCAGGCCAAAGCTAGAGCCCAGAATTTAATCTGGGTCTCCCAGGTGGGTCTCAGGGATCCACGTCCTGCTGCCATCATCTACTGCCTCCCAGGTACACATCCTCAGTGAATTGTATTGGAAACACAGATGCTGGGACTTGAACCAGGTACTCTGATAGGGGATGTCGGCATCCCAGTGATGACTTAACTGCTGTGCCAAACGCTGCCCCTGTTTTGATTTTATGTGATGATTAAAAGGGTTCCTTTGAGAGGCAATAAATTTCTGACTTGAGATTTTATGTGAGAAACTATAAAGCTCTAAGGAGAAGCTATAGTGGGGAGTCTGGAATAGCAGTCAGCAAATCCAGCTAGCTGCCTGTTTGTTTGTTTTGTTTTTTTGTTTTTTAATGTAAACAAAGGTTTGGGGAACATAGCCCTGCTCACTAGTTTATATATAGCTGTGGCCGTTGTTGTGTTAAAGCGGCAGAGCTACAGAGAATGTGTGTTGTGCACGGTCAGAAATGTTTACCAGTTGGTCCTTTACAGAAACATTTTATTGACCTCTGGTTGAGGATAACATGAGGAAATTGGGCCATAGGATCCCTGACGTCTCTTCTGTGTCTAAGCCTCTGTAATTCATTGGAAGCACAGAACTCTGAGTGATGTTGATGTTTTACTGCAATCCTCAGAGAATAAGTGCATTAGGAGAGCCTAATATACTTGTATGTCTTTTTTTTTTTTTTAAGATTTTATTTATTTATTCGAGAAGCAGAGTTACAGAGGGAGATGGAGGGCAGAGAGAGATACTTCCATTCACTGGTTCACTCCCCAAATGGCAGCAACAGTCAGAGCTGGGCCAGGCCAAAGCCAGGAGCCAGAAACTGCGTTTGGGTTTCTCACATGGTCTCCCAAGCACTAGTGCCAGCTTCTGCTTTTTGAAGGGCTTTAGCAGAGAACTGGATCCAAAATGGAGCTGCCGGGAATCAGATGAGCACTCACACGCCTGTGTCACTGATGGTGGCTTCCCCCCCGCACCACAACGCCAGCCCCTACTTGTGTGTTTGCACACATTGGTTGGGAAGCATTGGACCCAAGGGATTGACTGATTGTTAGAACGTGTGTTTCGCCGGCGCCGCGGCTCAACAGGCTAATCCTCCGACTTGCGGCGCTGGCTCACTGGGTTCTAGTCCCGGTTGGGGCGCCGGATTCTGTCCCGGTTGCTCCTCTTACAGGCCAGCTCTCTGCTGTGGCCAAGGAGTGCAGTGGAGGATGGTCCAAGTGTTTGGGCCCTGCACCCCATGGGAGACCAGAAGAAGCACCTGGCTCCTGCCTTCGGATCAGCGTGGTGCGCCGGCCACAACGTGCCAGCCGCGGTGGCCATTGGAGGGTGAACCAACAGCAAAAGGAAGACCTTTCTCTCTGTCTCTCTCTCTCACTGTCCACTCTGCCTGTCAAAAAAAAAAAAAAAAAAAAAACAACACGTGTGTTTCAGGGTCAGGCATCGTGCCACAGCAGGCTGAATCACTAGTTGAGACCTCAAAGAGGAGCTATTCTGTGTTGCAGGCTTGATGAGCACCCCTCAGCATGTGCCACCCATCTGCTACACTCTGGGACATGTGGGCCATCAAATGAAGGTTACTGACAGTTATCCTTGAGTGACTAGCAGCTGCCCACTGTTTAAAAAAAACAACAACAATACTTCACTTCTTAACGATCTGTTTATCCTTCACTTCTGCTTTAGCATCTCATGGGAGCAGAGGGTGACGGCTGGGTCTGTGTGTGCCACTGACACCACTTGTGATTCCCTAACTTCTTCCTCTAGCCCTTAGTTTCCTCATTTATCAGATGATCCTGAGCACAAGTATATCATAAGTAGGGCCGTTCTCCAGTGCTTTCGCAGGCACATTAGCAGGGAGCTGGATAGGAAGTGGAGCAGTCTCGAGCAGAACTCGATCTGGCGCTCACGTGGGAAGCAGGCACTGCAGGTGGCGTCTTTTTTTTTTTTTTTTAACTTTTTAAGATTTATTCTTTTATCTGAAAGACATAGTTACAGAGAGGCAGACGCAGAGAGAGAGAGAGAGAGACTCAGGAGAGGGCCACTGAGGTTTTTATTACTCTTTTTGATACCCTTTCACAGTGATTATTGTCATGACAAAGACTGTGTGTGTGTGTGTGTGTGTGTGTGTGTACATTTTTAAATTAAGAGCTTGAAGTCCATGCCCTCTCTGTGGGAGGGAGAGTGAGAGACTGTGGCCTTGGCTACTTGGAGCAGAGCCTTTCTGAAGCTTTCTTTCTTCCAGGAGGAAGAGCCCTGTGAGAGCACTAGTGAGGAAGAGTTTGGTCCTGAAGACCATCAGGGCTTCAGTTCTGTTGTCGATGTTGAGGATCTTGGCAAACTCATGGATCGCGGGAAGAAAGAAAAGGTACCATTATTTTGGAAAGGGCATTTGGGTAACATTTAGTATGTTGTATTGCTGTGTGGCCCATCTGAGTTCACCACAGGATGGTTTCATTTCTCTAACAGTCCTAAGAATTTCATATTTTTTTACCACACTGACATGAGCTTTGTTAAAATCTTCCCTCTTAACACTGTGAAAACGGGCTAGTAGGAGGCTAAGCAAGAGATTTCAGGTCCAGGACTGAGAAGAAGGGGAGATGGTCAGAGGGAGTTTAGTCGGGGCTATCTGAGGATGGAAGGGATGAGAGAATTTATTATCAGTGGGTTTTACGTGGCTGTAAGCAGAGTCAAGGACAGATGATGAAGTGGGAAATAATATTCACTCTTTAGATCACTGAGAGGGATTCATGTTTTTACTATCCAGAAATCTCAAAAATTAAAAGGAAAAAAAAACCCAAATCTAATAGAAAAATATTGACAATTCTCTACAGAATTGTCCAACTACAGAATAGACAAAAAGCTCTCTAAATAGATGTCAATGTATGAAAAGATGCACAGTTTCACTTATAGGGGAAATGCAGATGGAAACCACTCTGAATATGTGACTCCCCTATCAAAAGGTAGGTCACACACTCGGTGGGAATGCTGCCAGTTCTATCACGAACTTCGTATTTAAAAAAATTAGTATTAAAGGAGCATACTCTGGCCGGCGCCGCGGCTCACTAGGCTAATCCTCCGCCTTGTGGCGCCGGCTCCCCGGGTTCTAGTCCCGGTCGGGGCGCCGGATTCTGTCCCGGTTGCTCCTCTTCCAGGCCAACTCTCTGCTGTGGCCAGGGAGTGCAGTGGAGGATGGCCCAAGTGCTTGGACCCTGCACCCCATGGGAGACCAGGAAAAGCACCTGGCTCCTGCCATCGGATCAGCGCGGTGCGCTGGCCGCAGCGCGCTGGCCGCGGCGGCCATTGGAGGGTGAACCAACGGCAAAGGAAGACCTTTCTCTCTGTCTCTTTCTCTCACTGTCCACTCTGCCTGTCAAAAAAAAAAAAAAAAAACAAAAAAACATACTCTAAAATAAAGACAAAAGTATGATATAGTAAAATGATAAGCAATAGGCATTGCATATAATTGTATGTGCTATATTTTTATATGACTAGCAATGTAGTGGGTTTGTCTGTACCAGCATCACCACGAAATGTGTTGTTAACGTGTTGCAGTTGTGATGACCCTGATGCCACTGGGCAGTAGGAGTCTCTCAGCTCCCTGAGGGACTGCTGTGGTATCTGCGATCTGTTGTTAACTGAGGATGTGTGACTGTTACATACGGTGTTTCCTAGCTGTATTTACTGAAAGACTGCCTGTTCTGACATCAGCTATCTGAGACCACCTGGGTGTCCTGTATGTCAGTTTGGTTCTGGTATGAATTACCTGGAGTTAGCGTCAGACTCCCCAAGTTTACAGAAAAGTCCTGCTTGACAAGAATACACTCATTTCAGACACCAGCTTCAAGCGTCAAGGTCCACCTGTACTCTGACCAACCAGGTATAGACTTGAGGGTTCCCACAACGCCGTAGGTTGACTGGTTTGCCACAGTGACTCACAGAACTCACGAAAGCACTGTACTTACTACTGCAATTTTCTTATAAAGTCTACAGAGTAGGAACAGTCACACGGAAGAGCTGTGTAGGGCAAGATCTAGGGTCTGGGGATAAGGAAGAGACATAGAACTTGTGTCCTCTCTTCCTCGACTCTAGACCCATTGCCCCCAGCCCTGACCCCACCCCTGCCCCTGCCCCACATCCGTGTGTTTCTCACTAGGAAACTCCTCTGAGCTTTGCTGTCCAGGGTTGTTATGGAGCTTCCTTGTACAGTAGGGACAACCGATCAAGTCATCGGGCAGGTGACTGCTCATTCTCCAGCCAACCCCACCCCACCCCAGCCTGGTCCTGGAGGTCAGATTGGTCCAAGGTTCCAAGTCTATAATCATGGGATTGGTCTTTCAGGTGGCCCATCCCATTCTAAAGCAATCTAGGGGCCTTCCAAAAGTGATCTTATTTGCATAACAAAGGTAGTCATTTAAGGCCAAAGATTATAAGCATAGCAAAGATACTCAGTTGGGAAATACTAAGATTTTTTTGAAGTTGCCTACCAGGAGCCAAAGTCAAAAACCAGATATAGTTTTTTTTTGTTTGTTTTTTTTGTTTTTTTTTATTTTATTTGACAGGCAGAGTGGACAGTGAGAGAGAGAGACAGAGAGAAAGGTCTTCCTTTGCCGTTGGTTCACCCTCCAATGGCCGCCGCGGCCGGCGCGCTGCGGCCGGCGCACCGCGCTGATCCGATGGCAGGAGCCAGGAGCCAGGTGCTTTTCCTGGTCTCCCATGGGGTGCAGGGCCCAAGCACCTGGGCCATCCTCCACTGCACTCCCTGGCCACAGCAGAGGGCTGGCCTGGAAGAGGGGCAACCGGGACAGAATCCGGCGCCCCGACCGGGACTAGAACCTGGTGTGCCGGCGCCGCTAGGCGGAGGATTAGCCTAGTGAGCCGCGGCGCCGGCCCAGATATAGTTTTTATTATGCCACCGACCAAGAAATGATGAACACAGTCAAATCTTGTTTTCTGAATGCCCTTCCTCTATCACGGAAAGCAGCTCCTTGGAGAATTGACTGATTCCAGGATGGGGAAGGGGGAGCAGTAGATGAGCCCTGGAACATCTGTTCAGTAAGTAGGTCCTCATTAGCTGTGGAAGCAGGTCGAAAGGACTCTGAGAAGTCACGTTCGAGGTAATTTGTGCTTCAAAATGGTAAACACAATAGACTGTGTTAAAGGAAAATCCTTGTGGTACTCAAAGGGAAGGTATAGGTGAAGGTTTCCAGACAATAAATGTAGAGGACAAGATATAATTAGAGTCACCTGCTTGTATTCCCTCCTGTAATGGTGGATCGATTTAAGCAAGGAGTGGGTCCAGTTTTTTGGGGAGACAGGTATTTACAGTATCTTTTTTTTTTTTTTTTTTTTTTTGGACAGGCAGAGTTAGACAGTGAGAGAAAGAGAGAAAGAGAGAAAGGTCTTCCTTCCGTTGGTTCACCCCCCCCAAGATGGCCGCCACAGCCGGCATGCTGTGCCAATCCAAAGCCAGGAGCCAGGTGCTTCTCCTGGTCTCCCATGGGGTGCAGGGCCCAAGCACTTGGGCCATCCTCCACTGACTTCCCAGGCCACAGCAGAGTGCTGGACTGGAAGAGGAGCAACCAGGACAGAATCCAGCACCCCAACCTGGACTAGAACCTGTGGTACCGGTGCCACAGGTGGAGGATTAGCCTGTTGAGCCACGGCGCTGGCCTATACAGTGTCTCAAAAGCTCATCTCAGAAACTAAAGCACTTAGAAATGACAAAGATAAATGGATGAGTGGAACCTACTAGCCCCTGATTATTAATTATAGAGAAAGGCATTTTGTAAATGGGGAGACCAGATGATTTCCACCTATAGCAAGCCATCAAATTTGACATCGTCATTAGTGGTAAACTTGACCTCATCTGCCCCCTGGTAGGATGCGTGGCAAGACATATACAACATCATCTGTGTCCTTCTGTGTTAAAAATATTTAGTCTGGGGGCCAGCGCCATGGCTCACTTGGTTAATCCTCCGCCTGTGGCGCTGGAATCCCATATGGGCGCCAGTTCTAGTCCCAGTTGCTCCTCTTCCAGTCCAGCTCTCTGCTGTGGTCCAGGAGGGCAGTGGAGGATGGCCCAAGTGCTTGGACCCCTGCCACATGCATTGGAGACCTGGGAGAGGCACCTGGCTCCTGGCTTCGGATTGGTGCAGCACTGGCCATAGCAGCAATTTGAGGGGTGAACCAATGGAAGGAAGACCTTTCTGTCTGTCTCTCTCTCACTGTCTATAACTCTACCTGTCAAATAAAAAAAAAAAAAATAGTCTGAATCTAAGGGGAAACAATAAGACAAATCTAGAATGTAGGCACATTAAATGTCAACATCATAAACAATAACAACAGTAAAACACAGGGTAAATGTTCTAGGATTAAAAATGACAATGAAACATAACAGTACATTGTGTAAACTTTGATCTTGGATCAAAGAGAAAAAGCCATTGTCTAAACATTTAGGAAAATTTGAAGTGGGCTTTTTAATTAGACAGTATTGAATGTGTGTTAAAATCTTAGCTGTAATTAAGGTGTTGTGTTTCTGTAGGATCATGTGCATTTCTTTTTGGAGATGGATTCTGCAGTATTTAAGGGTAAAATTTCTTAGTGTCTGTAACATACTTTGAAGTCGTTCGGCAAAGCTGTCTGTACTGGTACATATATTTGTGTGTGTGTGTGTGTGTGTGCATGTATCTGTGTAGAGAATGATCAAATAAAATTGGGAGTGTAGGAGAGCATGGGTCTTTATTGTACTTTGCAACTCTTCTGAAGGTTTGAAGGAAGTGTGGGGAGGGATTTGCTTTTTCCACACTCCTTCAAAACACAATGAAACAAAGCTAGTGGCAGCCAAACTATAAACAATTTATGATATTGCCATATGAGAATTATCTCCCTTTTTTTGGTAGGACAATTGAATGAAGAGCTTTCATTGTATAAAGTCTTCAAGAAATTATTCCTTGCATTCTGTTTTTACTCTGGATGGCTCTTCTGTAATTTTCTTAAATGGAAGTTAGGTTGAATAATGTATTTAATTTTCATCTAGTTTAATGAAAAATTTTACTATAAAATAGTGTACTTATCATAAAGGAAATTTAGAAAAGAGAAATGGCAAAATCCATCTGTGACTTTTTCGTTAGAAAATTCACTATTAAAATGTGGAATATTTAGTTTTTGTTTCATATACGTTTAGCTTATTATATCTTTCATAATCCAGGTGTTTTTAAAGCCTTTAAAACTCTTATTTTAAAATCTTTAAACAGTAATCAATGTTGTTAGTATGCCTTGTATATTAAACTAGGAAAGTGATCATAGAAATGGCTTGAGTTTCCCCGTCCCTTTAAACCTGCACAGGAGGGGTAACCCTTTCCCGCC